AATTGGATGATGCAATTATATGTGGTAATCTGTTGTAAAGTATTGAAGATATATTTGTAAGTGCTAGCGAAACGGGATATAATTGAGCTGTAGATGTCCTGGGAAGATTCGGGAAGGTTTCGGGCAATTGTCGAGACAGTTAAGGGGATGATCACGCGACGCGTGGCGTTGCGTTTAAGTGACGGCGACAACGGCCGCTTTGCATCATTGGTTGTCTTTGTTGGTGGCTCGTCCTTGTGTCTGAATACGCTTTTTCGTATGTCCATCCACTATCGACCGGCGATTAGGTACGCGCGTACGTAATGGTTTTTTTTCCGTTTTATTTCTTAAATCGTTGAGGATAAGTTTCACGTAGTTGTTTAGTTAGTTTCGTAGCTCTTTTTTCGGCTGCATTTTTCTGATCAGGTCCATCAGGGGGTGAGGAGCGTTTATCAACATTGGAGGGAAATATAATGTTTACTTTCCTCAACCTTTTCATCACCTTTACAAAACGGAGTTTACGAGGGCAACGGCGCGTCTAGTTGGGTATTATTGGCAGCAGCTGCGTATTAATGTATGTACATGTATTTTTGTGGGAGAATGGCCAGCACTCCATTTTGGTGGAGGAATTGAAATAAAAAAAAGTAAATTTTGTCTTCAGATCAGTTGGCTGTGATGGGATGTTTGTTGATTTTAAAAGAGTGGTTTGAAATTTCTTAAAGAATAAGGCTGAAAAAATCGATAAACTAAGAAGAGTAGTGATGTGTCGTCTAGCGTTCAAGTCGTAATCAACATCGCCACCAACAGCAGACGGCATTGCGGAGGTGTGTGTGCGTGTATGGAGCTGTTCTTTAAAGAGCGTAAAACGTTGTTTAAATATAACGGCGTGGCAGATAATCGATCCCGGAGATATGGTTGCTTTGATCTTTAGTCAGTTTGTTTTTTGTTTTGGTTATTGTAGTATGTTATTATAATTGTTATTTTTTTCCGTAATTCTTTTTTATAGGAATGTCTTAAATGAATGAGCCGTGTTTGAGATGGTTATAGTGCGGCACTAGAATAGTCATTGATAATGATCTTTTATTGATGTGCTTGCTCATTTTACTTCAAATAGTTCTTCTGTCTTGACACTTGTTTTTATTCATCTTTCTCATATTTGTTATGATTCTTTTCTACAAGATCTAGTAGTGTTCTTTGTTTTGCCGCAATAACTTCAAACGTGGGATTTTTTAATTCAGTTTTTGCAGCTGAGGAGTTTGTATTAGGAAATATAAAATAGATTTTTTATGTTGTTTGTTCGTTAGGGGCGTGTCGATAATGACAGATTTGGTGGTAAGGTTGTAAGTTGGGCAGAACTCTGTTACGTCGCTTATCCTATCGAGTCTTCTGCCTGGTGTGAGTTTAAAAATTCTTGTCTGCTTATCTTCGTGATATGCGTTGCATACTTACGTTCAGTTCACCATTTGCTAAAGTACGGTTAATTAGAGTATTTTTTAAGCATCTTTTTGGTGTAAAGAAAGAGAAGCTTTATAGAATATTTTGAAAAGTTCTTGGCTGAAATAATATTTTTGGTCAATGGCAAAGGGTTAGGAAGATGCCATAATATTTTGTAAGTTTTTTAATGTAGAAGTAGCGGATTACTGTGTTTTTTTAAGTTGTTGATGGTAGCGGGTTTTCGCCTGACGCCTGTACGCATTGACCATTTTATGAGCTGGCAAGGTTATTTAAAAAAAGAATATGTTGATTGGGCTCTTTTTAAATGTATTTGTTTTGTTATTTAACTTTGTTTTGTTTTTGCTTATTTGAAGCATTTATGTGGATTTTGTTCTCAGCCCTCGTTGCTGCGGCACATTGTTTGAACGATTGACTTCTTCAAAATTTAGCTAGTAAAGGAAGTTTGGAGTCGAGGCTCAGTTTGAATAGTTTTAATTTTTTGCTTTTAATTTTCCGTTTCGCTTCTCACTTTTATGTAATGTTTTTTTTTTCTTTTTACATGTTCAAACGTGGGGCACTGGCTTTAACGATGCGCAGTCTGAGCGAAGACTCATAATAATCACGCTTACTCTTCGTTTCGTTAAGTGTAAAGCATTGTGGAGTGAATTAAATAAATAACTTCTACTGCATTTGGAGTGTGTTTGATGTGGCGGAATTCGATAGGACCGAATTATTTTGCGTTTTCATTTTCTTTGATCTTCTACCTATCTCATTGAATCTGAAGATGTGCTGCTCTGCCATGTGCCAGAGGTCCCCGTCTTATTGTGCACTAGGTCATTTAAAGGCAACACTTTTGGGTAGCTTTTGGCGAAAGCTTCTATTAATCCTCTGTTGTTGTTGAAGGCATGTGTTTGGCCCCCCATCTATTTTTCTTTTCATCTTGTTTTGTTTTTCTGCGAAAATTCTCATTTTTGAGCTCGCCTTCAGTGACGCCAGTGGTAGTCAGAATGGTTGCTTGTTTGATTGGGTGGAATTGTGTCCATGTTTTGATACATTTTCTTCTAGGGTGACGAAGGCTCATGGCTTGATTTGCAGAAATAAATTATGATAGTTGCTCAGAGCTGTTCTCGGCTTTTCAGCATTTTCGGGTGGGTGTTCCTTATTGTGAAAGAATGTGACAGTGGAGTTTCTTAAGTGAATTAATTCATAAATTACAGCAGAAGCAGTGGATTCTTCGAAATTGTTTGTTGAAGTGACGGAAAAGCTATTTATTTTTTAATCACTTATGTGCGGAGATAATTTAATGAGTGTTGAAATAATGGTCCAGGAGCCTACCGGTATTCACTGGGTGCAGGAGAGGGGGAGATCGAGGGAAGTGGACACGCTTAGGAGGGTTGCAAACTCTGGAACGCTGAAGACGTTATGAAGTGTAAGATGCAGAGTACAGTTCTGAGCTTGTCTTTGATTCTGGCTGTTTATGGTGATGACAAGTTGGAAAATAAAGAGCTTGCCCAATGGATTTGTTGAAGAGTGTCAGGGTTTCTACAGCAGGGACGGATACACTTGTTCTGATGGAGAGAGCCACATGAATTTTTGTTGGTAACCTCCTCTGTCAAAATTAGTCTTGAAAAATGCTTTGTCATTGTTGTGACGGAGAGGCTGTTGGCTCAGTGTTTGCTGGTTAGTGTGTTAAAGGGTGCAACTACGCACTGCTTTTGTGTGTTTTGGTCAGTCCGTCGATTATTTCGAATTCTTCAGTAAAAACTTATTACAGTGTTTCGTATTGTGCATGTGTGCGTATTGGCGCCATTCCGTCCGTGTTGATTGAAAGTCGGTTAACTGTTGTCGCATCTGACATTAATTTCTTCTGTTCTAGCTGTGAGTAGAGTATGGCGCGAACAAAGCAAACGGCACGTAAATCTACTGGAGGAAAAGCACCTCGGAAACAATTGGCCACGAAAGTAATTAAGGGTTTATTTTCCGCTTGGGACAGCTTGTCGTCTCACTAACACAACACATTTTGCTTTTTAATCCATCATAATCAGTGTTAGTGGGGCTTTTAGAAAGTTTCTGTTATAGAGGTGCTGCATTGCTTCGAAATACATTTAAACCATTTAGGCTGCGCGTAAATCGGCGCCTTCAACTGGCGGTGTAAAGAAGCCCCATCGTTACCGCCCGGGTACTGTTGCCCTTCGAGAAATTCGTCGATATCAAAAGTCAACTGAGCTTCTCATCCGAAAACTTCCGTTCCAGCGACTTGTTCGTGAGATTGCACAAGATTTCAAAACCGATCTCCGTTTCCAGTCAGCTGCTATAGGGGCCCTGCAGGTAAACACTTCTGTCCCATTAATGGCTTGTTGGTATAGGGTAATGTCCGGTTTCTTTTTTTTGTGATTCCTCACATTTAAAGGTCTCTGCGGCTTAACTGCTATAAGTTTGGGTGTCGATATATCCCAATGTTTTTTAGGAGGCCAGTGAGGCTTACCTTGTGGGCCTTTTCGAAGACACTAACCTCTGCGCAATTCATGCAAAACGCGTGACAATAATGCCGAAGGATATCCAACTTGCACGTCGGATTCGTGGGGAGCGTGCTTAATTTCGTGTTCTCAACATTTCATTTTGTTTTTTACTTTTATCCTCATTATTACTCATTTATTGAATACAAAAGATTTTTCTCACTTGATGTTTGTTTTTCCCCAGTAGGAACTAAACCTCAAGCAATTCTGTCCAGTCAGAATTGCACCCAATTTACCTCGGACCTCAGAATACAAAGAAAATTTCGGTTAAATTTACTTGTTTACTTTGGGAAGCTCCACTAAATCAATTAATGAAAAGTTGGTGAGACTGATCTTTGACCACTAACTGAATTTGTTACTCTTTATGTATATATGCACCGCCTAAAATTTAGCAGTTAAAGGTGGCGTTGTCGCAACTTATGAATAAAGTTTTTGTTTTAAATCTGTTGACAGCAAACAGCGTATGTGATGAGTAGTTCGCGAACTCGACTCAGTTTTTTCCGAGTGAACACGACCTTCCAAGTTGTCTTCATGACTTATCTCGCACAGTCCTCATTGGTAGTGATGCTTTCTCGTCTTGGCGCGGTTCCTGAGGTAGGGGAAGGATGATTGATTGCCAGAGAATCTGCGAAGTGGAGAGGCATGGTAACTGCTGGTTGGGCATTGGGAATGTTTTGCTTCAACAGTATTCAGGCACGGGGAGGGAGGAAGCTCATCTCAATATCGAAGGATGAGGGGTGCGGTCGCTGAAATCCACGGAGCTTTTGGAATTGCTGTTGTAAGTTGCTGCGCTGTCTTCGTCGACTGGACAATAATTTATTTTAGTAAGAGTTATAAATGTAGGTTAAGAAATATTAAAGAAGTTCCAAATATCATGATAGTGGAGGGCGGGTATCTACCCTGCTGCCTAATTGCAGATGTGGCTTATCATTCACGCCTTGAAAGCGTTTTTCTTTTTACGAAGGAGATCCATGAGTTCCATAGGGGAACCGGCGAGTTCTTGCAGCTCTTTGCTTTCTCCTCTGTAAAGGAAAAAAAAAGTAGTAATTAGGGAACCAAAATACTGTACTTCATGTCTTATGCATGTGGGAATTGCATTTCGAACGGGCGTTAGAACTGTTGCCCAGGAAACTGAAGTTTAGCTTCACCTGATCCGCATGAATGGGTTTGTGCGTTTTTCGTCCTCTATAGTGGATGGAACTGTCGGTTTACTTTGCGCTCTTTGAGCCTTCGCCCACTGTAATTTTTCCGTGACCGAACTGTTTGACGGTTCTACACTTCTAGCAAATATCAGGTCGTCTACGGTATACTCGTGACCACAATAAACTTCCTGAAAAAAAAAAAAAA